TTAATTCATCAACTCTATATCATTCAAAGCCCTGTCTCACACACCACTGGAAGCTGGTGCAGCATCAGTCACATGCTTGACATTTATCTGTCCACAATGCTCGCTTTAGTGATTTTTCTATGTTCGTGTAATGTACTCAGGTGAATATGATGCTTGTGATGTTACTCTGAGTGTATATCCATACCGAGCAGGCTTGAAAAATATGCCTGTTCAAGCATGTGGTATTTTGGAACTGAATCTAGGTGTAATGTGTGTTGGTGTAATGTGGATATACACTCAGAGTAACATCTCAATGCTCTGTTTATTACAGACATACATTGCAGTATTGCACAACCTAGCTAACATGTCTACTTTAACTTTTCGGTTATCATTCCATGTTTCGCGCACCAATATAGGTTAGGGTTAGGGTTAGGGGTTAGGTATTAGGGTTAGGAGTTAGGTTAGGGTTAGGGGGTTACGTTTAAGGTTGGGGTTAGGGTGTGTAGCTATATATGTGTATGGAGGTATCTAGTGAACTTTGCAATACACTATGATATCGATATCCATTACATAGCATTTACTATATTCGTGCGCAAAACATGGAACGATTACCAACTTTTCCTAATAACAACCGGGGGAGGGGGGTTGGGCGAGTGGGACTTATGTAAAGCTACGGTGAGCAACATTGCAAAGCAAGCTAGATAGATAGATTCTGCAAGGCCCTGGCTGTAATAGTTTTAAAATATGAAAACATCTCCAGCAAAAGATATTACAGTATAAAATACATAAAATATATACTTTTAATAATGTGCGTATTAATTTAAACAAATACAATGAATCAAACGAAACTGTTTGGTATTTACAGTAATTATAAATATATTTGCTTACCAATTTGAAATCGCTTTGGATTGGGAAGATTTTTAGACTTTGATTCCGGTGTTAACGCGTGTTTTCCCGTAAAATTGAGGCTCCTAGCTTCGACTAAATTTCGGCGTCACCGTCTTAGACGCCTCTATCTCACCAGAACCATCTTCTTCAACAACCGAAACATCGTGTACATAACCTAAAACTGCCTCAAAATGCTCTTCGTCAATTTGCATAGCCTCGCTAGACTCCGCCATGCTGTTTGCGCGTAATTCGATACCATTTTGATGAATATTTTACGTCATGCAAGTTTTCGTCTCATATTGACAACTTTTCGAACGCGTTCTGCCAGTCCCTCAAATTTTACCCTTGACCATTCCCATCATGCACCATTATTTTGTTTAATCCTCATTTGAGGGACTGGGTACGAGTCAGCTTCCAAGGAGTTTATTAGCAAGTTGTGTAGCAAGCAAAATGTGTGTTATTTTGCACACCTTGCACGGTGTGTAAAAAAGCACGGGTTAAGGTGTGTAATTTGTTCGCCAGAGATTCAGGGCAAAATACATACCATATGGTGTGTAAAAATACACAACTTTTGAAAAAACACGCCTTAAAGTGTGTGAATTTGGTGACAAGCAAGAAACGAAAAAAAACACAGCTTAAGGCGAGTTTTTTTACACACCTTTATCTTGCAAATACACACGTTAAGGCCGAAATTATATGATGTCCCTTCATTATACGCAATATCAGATTTTTAAAGCAATTATATTAAGCAAACAACACAGCATACTTAAAAAAGCTTACCTTAGATATTACGATTTCCAGCAATCTATTGCCCCTAATCTTACTTTTTACACTCCTAAAATTACCATATTTTTGATATGTGTGGAAACCTCAGATCATAACCACACGCCTGCAATTCCCCCAGGTGCAAATAACCGAACGGAATTAGTATCCTCACCCAGGTCTTACGCGCGCAACGGCGCTCTGTGCTGTTGGCTCCGAGATTAAATCAAACTGCCATAAACTATAAATACATATTTGAAAACAAATTGTTGCCAATTAATGTAGCTCATGATTTCGTTCAAATAAATTTTTCAGATATCAATGAATGTGACGAGGGGATCCAGGATTGCCAAAGTGGCTGTACATATAATAATACTATGGGATCATTCGAATGCAGCTATCCAACTGGTTAGATAGAAAACCGGACGGTTCGTCTGACCGTGCATGGAGGTGGCGCACTCCCGCTGGTTGGTCTGTCTGCAAAATCTGAATATTTGTCTAATTATTTTTTAACATGCAAAATAGTGTATAGTTAGATTTTGTTATTACTGATTATTCTTTTGAATAGAAGGATGCATGAATTCTTTATGCGCTGCATTTTGTTTTGCTGCGTTAATATATTCTTCTTTCAGATAATTTTTTTATTTCTCAACATTTTCTTAGGATAACATTGAATTGCCCACTGCTAATGCAACAACAGTAATTAAAATTACGTCCATTTTGCCGGCAAACATAGCATCAGCCTCGTTTTCATGTGTTGAGCATTGAGCTTTGACATATGTCAAGTGCTCAAAAACGAGGCTCTATAGCCAAGGTGACACCCAACAGGGTGTACTTGAACATTTACCTCACAATGACTAACCATACAACGCAACATCTATGCAATGCAACAAATGTTTAACTTCGTCTTAAGCACACTTTCATGCCTAGTCTGATCGATCGCGACCCATTGCTGGAGTGTAAGCGCATATTTTTTGGTAATGCAGTGTATTCAGATATGTTGTTTTATTTGCCCTGAGATAAAGTTTATCGCAGCAGTTTATGCTTCAGCTATTCATGCCATTATTTAGACTATAACATAAGATTTTCCACAACCAATTGGTCCCATCAATGAATTTCCAAAATATTTAATTTTGTAACACACCCAATTTTTGGTTTGTAAAAATTCTCAGATTACGTGACATATTCTGATAGCCTCTTTATAAATTTTATTAAGACGTCTTTCATTTAATATTTGAAGGATAACCACTAGCGATGTAACCACTGCAGGTGCTACCAGTTAATATATAACGATAAAAATTCTTCAGAATTATTGTGCAATACAATAAACATATCGGATGACGGTGATTCTGGGGACTTAAAACTTTCACTATTGCATGTTTTCGCGACAAATGACAGCAATGATCAAATTTCACGAAGTTGAGCTGGCGTTACTGCTATACTAATGATGGTGTTAAATATTGTATATTTTTTTCTTCATGTTTTTAGCGGGCTGCTATTCTTAAAAATAGAGCAATCTGACTGGGTACCGCGTGATCAGGTGCTTTATGTCCGGACCGTACTGTATTTCAGCTGTAACGATAAATAAGTTTTCGTGCTAAAACAAAAAGACAAGTTAAACAATTTTTAGGCTAAAAGACCTTCCTGAAAAGATGAAAACGTTGGCGTAGCAGTTGTTCTAATACTGAAATAGATCAATCTCTTGAGTATATGCAAAACCAGGCGACATATTCCGAATTTAGTATAATATTAATTTAGAGGAAAATTGTAATAAAAATCCTGTAGTTCCTGTTGTTCCTGGGTTTCCAAACACCCTGACGTGAGCATAGTATTTACATCAAAACGAAATTATGCAAATTATAGATGTTTCATGATTATGAAGAACAAATGCTCAATTAAATATTTACAATGAAACTATCAATACTGTATTTTAATATCTATAAATTTAATCTTTAAGAATATCTAATACCCATACAGTATTGAGAAATATACAGAAGACTAGATATAATAAAAGTGCCCCCATAATCTATTTGTACGATAATTAGGACAATATTGTGCAAGTCAACAGTAATTCCTAGCGCATACAGGGTGTATAAAACCTGAGTCCATATTTTATGTTCAATAATTTTCTGAATACATATATTTTATTGAATGGTTTGACAAATAACCCGGCCGAATATTTTACGAATTTCGAATGCTCGGCATGATTATATGTCAAACTATTCAATAAAATTATTATAATATGATAACCTTCAAATAGATTTATTGGCCTTTATTGAAGGATTTGCAATATGAGTTTAGCGTGTAATTGTAAACGGCAAATAATTTCAGATTCGTGAAGACTAAACACATTTGGTAGCCGAGTTACGTTAAGCTTTTGTTTATAGCAATTTTGCTGCTGTTCTTCTTAACATATTTAAAAAATACACATCTCAAATTGCTCGCAATGAGATTGCTAATAAACACCTCAAATTGCTCGCAATTCCATTAGATATTTCTTTTTGTTAACAAAACAAGTTAGCATCGACTATCGTGAGCTTCGTATTGCATAATGTATGAGCATTTTTTGATTCTCCAACCTGAGCCAGATAGAATAATATTCTTTGCGAAACAATCGATTAAATTTGAGGAGTAGTAGGCTACCGTTGAAAAGTTGAATGAACAAGCTTTAAAGTGAAACTAAGCATAAACGTTTCCTAAGCGCTAGCTTGCTACTCTTTTTGAAATTCATGTTTTAATCGAGGGCTCCGTTGTTTATACACCCTGCGTATTATGCTAGCTTGCTGTTTATTTCTGGGAAAGGTTTCCTCCAGTGTATACGTGCAACCTCCTGCAGGTCAACTTTGTAGGTCAGGTTCGTTTGTATAATTCAAATAATTCATATATATGTGGCATTCTCTCCTCTTGTCGTCGTTTAAAAACTCTAAAAATAAAATTACAGTTGCAGCTTAGTAGCGAAACAGTAGGCAAAGGAAGTACAATTCGTTTGAAATTCGTTTGTGTGATGTCCTGTAACAATCTCGCACATGATTTTATCCTTTCGCTCTAAGGAATGGCGCCGTTTTGGCATCACAAAGTTTTTCAGTGGTTTTAGATTCTTTCAAATGCCATTAATTAGGGAGGAGGGTGAAAAATTGTCATTTAATAGACAGAGTTGCGTATCGTTGTGTATCGATAAAGCTCCATGTGTTTACGTCTCTCATTGAATTAACTATATATTGATTATGTCTCCAATATTAGCAATGTTAAAGGTGATTTATCAAAGTGTTTATATCACTTGTGGAATCTTTACGAATTTGGAGAGAGTACAAAATGTTAGTTAATAAATTCTAATTCAACCTTTTTTTATTTAGTTCAAAGATTTCTGAGACATAGGCCCTTTTGGCCTTCTAGCGAATTAGTTTGGCAAGGGTTTGAATATCGGGGCCTTTACCATTAATTTAACAGCAAAGTTAATTGAATCAGATCCAAGTATTTATATATTGGTCTACTGCAGCAGTAAAGCTAATACAATCATTGAATCATGAAATGTGTTGTGAGTCTCAACAGTACAAAATAGAATCGAAACAGCTCCTCCCTTACTTAATTTTGATATCTCAACAATTCAACCTGTAAAACATAATTACTCAAAAAGAATTCAAAATATGGCAAATACTGTGTGGTCGTCGCACGGCATTTGGCCTATACAGAAAATATTTTATTCAGACACTTTAATTAATAATACAAAGAATTATTACGACATATGCTGTAAGGTCCGTTTCAAGTGAAAAAGAATTTCCTTACTTCTTTTTTTATTCTTCTAACTTTCATACGTATTCTTTGACCCATGCATGCACCTTTGGCAGTGTAGCTCTAAATGTCAAGTTTCTCATGGCCAATATATGAAGCTAGACGTCATCTACGAAGGGGCACTTACAAATTTTATTTTGTACGTTTCACCTTCAATTCTATATTCAACGCAATCGTAGAAACTTTTACCAGTAGCAGAGAACGACTTTAAGCTTAATAAACAAACTTTTCTAGCAAAAAGTCTCACTTCAGGAAGTGATAGCGTCAGCATATCACACAATTCTTAGTGTTTGTTTACGCTCGCGTTCCTGAGTCTCAGGCCCCCAAGCACGACGGATTTTTTTGAAAATTGTCATGTTTTAGGGTCAACATATTGAGAAAACTGAACCAAATTGAAAAAGATTTTAGAAGTTATTATTAATTAAACAACTTTTTGTGCTCTTTTCAAATATCCCACAAGTGATATAGGCACTTTAGAAAAGATCCCGCAAGTGATATAGGCACTTCAAACATTTACATTTTTAACTGTCTCGATAATGCAGGAAATTCTGTTTCAGAGATCCAAAGTTCAATTTTTTTCAGGAACATAACTACAAAGCCCCCTAGAATGGATCATTTGCATTATAGACTAAATTTTGGTTTAGACAAAAGCTTGAAAGAGCATCACAAAATTAGTAATATTCCAAAGTTTCGTTGCGAAATGTTGTAAAATGCGGAAAATATAGCCTTGCGAAATTTGCAATTTTCAGTCATTTTCTATTACAAACGGGAAATTGATGCCCCAACACCCGAATGGGCTGTCAATTTCCCGTGCGTAATACAAAATGGCAGAAAAACGACAAACTTCGCAAGGCTAAATTATCCGCATTTTACAACATTTCGCAACGAAACTGTGGAATATTACTAAATTTGTGATGCTCTTTCAAGCTGTGATGAAATTTTTGTCTAGATCAAAATTTAGTCTATAATGCAAATGGTCCATTGTGACTCACAAATTATTAAGTTGCCATCCCAAAAATAAAATCCTGCAGGAGGGCACTACTCTTGCAAGATTATAGTTGCAGGGTCCGAGGGGCCTGTTTAAACGTGTGGGGGGGGGGGGGCAGGATATTACGGGATATGCCCTTGTTCCGCGGTCCCTGAATTTTTCGTTTAGTACCAGTTTATAGGACTTACCTAAACGCAACAAGCGCAATTAAAATACAAGCAAGTGGAACACACAGTGTAACCGGAACAATGACTGCTATGAACAGAGCTCCGTTAATTTCATCATTGTAACCTGTAATAAAAGTGTAATACCATCATAAACGGAAAAAGTCTAGATCTAATTCAAGATTTAAAGAAATTTACTACTGTAAGCAATCATATATAATACCACTGAGTATTTTGAAAAAATACCAAACAATAGATACTCCGAAAATTGAAAGCATTTTGAAAAATTTTTCAAAATGCTTTCAATTTTCGGAGTATCTATTGTTTTGTATTTTTTCAATCATATATAGTATATATATGTTATTTACCGGATTGTTGGTCCGTATAGAGAAATATTTCTCGAGGTCTTAAAAACGGCCCGAGGCTGAAGGCCGAGGGACGTTTTTAAGACCGAGAGAAATATTTCTCTATACGGACCGACCATGCCGGTAAATAATATTTTTATTTTTTTTAATTCCTCCTCTGGATTTCCCCAATCACTCCTCCCGCACGCGAATGAAACTGCCAAATAAAACGTCGTTTCTATCAATGCTATCAGGAAGAGTAATATCTTTTGTGAGATAGTAAAGTTCGTTTTCACTGTGTTCTTCATCGTCTGCAGACATTTTAATATTTTAAAAAGTAGCCTTTAAACTCGTCTTTAAATTTTGAAAAATAAAAACATTGGCTCTACGGCTTTAGATCTCGCGCGGTCCGTACGGGCTCATACGGACCGCCCACGTAGCCAATCAGATTGCAGAAAAGCGTAAAATATGACTTCGGACCGCAAGAAAAAAAATAAATATGGTTAACACATATCATTATTGAATGGCATTATATGGGTGAACGAATTTTGTAATTAGTATGTTTTGCTTGTTTATACAAATATTATGGAAGCTGTAAAGAACAAAAATATTTTCGTTGTTTTTGGTCATTTTTTGTTTTGTTATTATATATGCTAAAACAATTATTCACCTCAGTGACACTTCAACGCTTCGCGTTTAGGTACATATCCTTGCATTATTCACCTCAACATTGGTGAATAATTGGCATTACAATTATACAGCTCTTTCAATTAAGGTTGTCCACGAGCAAAGCGGAAAAGTCGAATATTAGCAGGAAAGGCTGCAGGGAACCCTAAAATATTAATGAATTTTCATAGCGAATCCCCAGCAGCACTTCGCGCTCGTATTCGACTTTTCCGCTTTACTCGTGGACAGCCTTAATTGAAATAGCTGTATACATGCAGGATGTATGAAAAAAGGTAATCCAACTTTACGGCTTACTCTTGTTCGCTCAATATTGTATGCACATTTTTCATATTGATAAAGATTAGGTTTTAGGCTTTCGAATGATTAATACCGTTCTCGTACCATTCGAAGCACAATTACGCGCCGTTAAAAATTGCCGGTGGAAATCACATTTTTCTACTTTTGTGCATAATTCAAGCAGTGCATAACAAAAGAAAAAGCAAGTAATCATCAATTTGTCTTGCCCGTTGACTCTTAACTAAAATTTGCAATCATTCAGCGGAATTCTCTCATTTTCTGCGAAAATACTATTTAATTGCCAAGTTATCGTGATTTTGCCCGAAATATAGCACTGCGAAGTTCGCCGTTTTTCACTCATTTTGTATTATGCACGGAAAATTCATACTGCTTTCTGAAAAAAGGTATCAATTTTCCGTGCGTATAATACAAAATGACTGAAAAACGGTAAACTTCGCAGGGCTATATTATCCGCATTTTACAGCATTTCAAAACGAAACTTCGGAATATTACTAATTTTGTAATGCTCTTTCAAGCTGTGGTGAAATATTTGTCTAGACGTGTCTAGATCAAAATTTTGTTCATTAGGGAATAGGTCCATTGAACTACCAACTTTACATTTTCCGGCCCTTTACGTAATTAGTAGTCGGAATTATTCGCACGCGGAATTTTACCTGGAATATTATCAAATCTAAACAAATAAAGCAAATCATAGTTCAGAGTCTTTCAGCTGTTTATACGTTTTATGTTTTTTTTAGGGTTTTTTTATGGTTTCTATGGTGATAATCATGATCTACCCAACCTGAGTCGCATAATTTAGCAGCTAAATTCTGGGTACGACGTGGCAGCCTGTGTCAGGGTTTTCGCTGCAGCGGGTTTTGGGGAGTAGCGGAAATGAAAACCCTGAGTATCAGGTTGCGTTAGAGCCCAGCTTTCGACGCGTTTATATTAAATACGGTGGATTCAGTGGATCTAGCACATGGATCTAGCCGATAAATTTTCGCAAAACGATTCATATATTTTACTATCACTTATTGAAAACAATTGAAGAATTTTGATTCGCTAATACTTGTCGGTGGAATCGTCATATCCGCTCGGTAGCTGCTCAGATTTGAAGTGATAACATCACCATGGAATATTGAAAAACAAATAGACCATGTTTGACGTATTTCGTGCATGTAACACGCTATGACGTCACCTTAATTTAAGCGGCTTATGCCAAAAGCGTTAAAATACGGCTATTAGTAAAGCACGGAGCACGGAGCACATGGAGCACACGGAGCACGGAGCACACGAAGTACGGAGCAGTAGAAAAACGAAAATCCTTTATAATAAAATACACTGTTTACTATTACAAATTTTTGTTATTATTAACAAAGATTTTTCGCGAATTTACACGTTGGGGAAGTAGGAAAATGGGGCTTTTACTGAAAACACATATGATGCAAAACTGCCAAAAGCCATAGTATTTAAAATAGGATTGTGAAACTCGTTATCTTACATCTATCAAGCTTATGTAGTTATATTATATTCCGATGGCCAACGCATAAAGAAACACTTACTGTAAAGAACAGCCGATATATTTCGTTACCCCTGCCAAAAAATATCCAAGTACTCATCTTTCAATGTAGCGGATCGACTGAAATTAAAGCTTGTGATGGAGAGAAGTGAATTTTCGGTTTATCCTTCTGCCCAGTGTGCTGTACGTGTTTCCTGACTGCC